GGCATTTCTACTGAGTTTAAAACAGTGAGTGTTGATATATACAGTTTTATGAAGGTTGATTATTAAAAGGCCATCTAATGCCTTTTGATTTTGCCTTGAAGTTTTGATGATGTTTCCAGCTCTACTAGAACACGTTTTCCTGCTTGAATGTTGATTATTCTGAGTAATTCTGTTCTGCATTACTCTGAGAATAAAGACTCTCCAATACTAGTTTTCTATTAAAGTTACTGTGAAACGCCACACAGAATCTTTTCAGTGGAGAATCAGTTTGATTTGATTCTTATTGAACGACTCTTTTGATCTCTGGCTGTTTCTGATCGGGTCTATGGAGGTCTGCATGATCTGATCTTCATTTCTGGTCTCTAAAATATCTTTAGGTGCGTTTGTATGTGATGAATATGGAAGATACATCAGAAAACAAAAAACATAATTATGACAAAAAAAATCAAGTCACCTTTATTTATATGGTGCTTTACAATACAATAAGTCAAAAGTAATAATTATGAGACTAAAAGTCGGAATTTACTTAAAAAGTCATAATTATGACGTATTGTTTATGACATAAAATGTCGACTTTTATCTTATCATTGCAATTTTCTTAATCTTTAAAAATTTCGACTTGGATTTTTACACCAGAATTTCAACTTTTATGTCATTATTATGATGTGGTATATCATAACCCTACATAATTTATGTAATAATTTTATTTTTATCTTCAAAAGTATGAGTTTTTATCTCATATGGCGGGAAAGTACTCGACAGTCACTGCTGTTCTTTCTGTCGCCAGCAGATGTCGCTAATCTCGCTCATCTCAGTCCATGAACAAACCTTTTCAGAGTTTTAAGCGGCCAAGCACGGCCTATGGGCCTGAAGCGGCAGCACTCCATCGTGTGGCCGCAGACCTGTGGTTGGTCACAGGTCTCTGGTCGGTCGCAGGTATATTTCTGTTCGGCTTTGAAGCGAATCTCTGCCATGGAGCCTCGCGACGCCGCGGTGTGGTGCGGAGAGTTCGCGCATGCGCAGAGGCGGCTCTGGAAACCCAAGAGTGTTTCGGGAGTCGAGCGATTCCACTTCAGCGCTGCTTCCGCGGTCGGTCAACATCACGTGATAAAATTAGCCTCTGATTGGTTGCATTTATCATTTTAGTGTACTTTTTAAGTGTTAAATATGTATAGTTCAGAATTTCAATGATTTAAAATGTGTCCGTATTATGAACTGCTGAACTGCCGTGTTATGAAATACAAGTCAAGTACAAATAAATAAAATTAATTTGCAGGTTTTTCAGCTATCAAACAAATCCTGCTCGTGTTCTTTATAATACACTATTGATTTTGATCAATAATTTATAGATAAAGTATTGATCAAATAATAAAATTGATCAAATTTATATAAATAAATTATTGAATTTCATTTATAAAATGTATACATTAAATGTCTGCTTTGAAATTAAGTTTTGAAATTAAAAATGTTATTTTTTTCCTCTGGCTTTTGGTTTTAATTTAATTACTATTTTAATGTTATTTCATAACAGAATCAAAGAAATACAAAGGTATATATATATATATATATAATATATATATATATATATATATATATATATATATATATATATATATTCAGAATATATAAAGACAATATATAAAGACTCTGATGATAACTTACAAAAATTCCAAAAAGAAAATGATTAAATCATTCTATACATCCGTTTTGCTTTTTTATTTATTGTGTCTTTTAAGGCCTCGGTATAATACTCAAGTTAAATTTTAAATAATATAATGTTAGGTTTAATATTAGTCCATTTCTGTTTGTGTATATGTCGTATATTATCCATATTATCGTGTGCGCTGCGTCTCCTCCGCTCCGTGACGTCACGCGCCGCGTCGCTCGCGGGAGCTGCAGTGAATCGGAGTGGACGCGCTAGAATCTGGAGCGTCGCGTCGAAGCGCAGCGACATTTTCTTCTCATTTCAGTTCCTCTTCATCAACAGGACCGATACACACAGTCTGATCTCGAACACACACACACACCGACCGACTGATGCTCGGAACAACCCGGAGCTGAGAGGAGCATCACGCGCTTCTGTGAGAGACTCTCCGGTGAGTGTGTGTGTGTGTGTGTGTGCACTGATATATGATCATCACAGGTGAGGATGTGCATGAGTTCTGCAGGCGTGGTCCTCTATATCATAATTCATAATTGATCTCCATGTTAATCATGAGCGACTCCTCGTCATAACTCATCTGCTGATGACGGTCTGCTGTTGCTGATATTGAGATATGATCAATCATGGCGTTTCAGCAGTGTGTGTGTGTGTGTGTGTTCTCGTGAAGCCGTAATGTGGCAGTTCCTGTCTGTTTTTAATAGTTATGGTACCTGATAGCATGTGTTGATTGGCTGTTGGTGTGTGTGTGTGTGGATGTCAGTGAGAGAGTGTGTGTGAGTGAGAGAGAAAGCGAGAAGGTGTGTGTACGAGAGAGAGGGTGTGTGCGTGTGTGTGTGTGTGTGCACGTGAGAGAGAGAGTGTGAGTGTGTGTGTGTCTGTGTGTATGAATGAGAGAGTGTTAATGAATGAATGAATGAATGAACAAACAAATGAATGAACGAATGAATGAAGGTTCGAACGAATTAATGATCATACAAATGAATGAACAAACAAATGAACGAACAAATGAATGAATGAACTAATGAATGAACAAACTAATAAATTGAATGAACAAACAAATGAAGGAACAAATGAATGACTGAATGAACGAAAAAATTAATGGAAAAATGAATGAACGAACAAACGTACGAATGATAGAATGAATGAATGAACGAATGAATGAATGAAAGAATGAATGAATGAACGAACGAACAAATGAATAAATGAACAAATGAATGAATGAACGAACGAACGAATCAGTCCACCCCAGCTCCACCTGTATAAATCTGCTACGGCGGTGAAATCATGTAATTTAAATGAAAATTATGTATATTCAACATTTATAAATGAGTAGTTTAATATTTGATTAATGTGATTTCATGATTTACTCTCGCTCAGACCATCCCAGTGTATATGACTTTCTTCTTTCAGACGAACACACACTCGCACACTCAGACTGATCGTGTGTGTTTTGTCTCCTCAGCTCTGATGGTTATGGTCGGTGTGTGACGCTCAGAGTCTCAGCTTCACTCAGCATGTCTGCTCTACAGGTACACACACACATGCGCACACACACTCATTCACTCTGCATGAGAGGGAGTTTAACAGAAGTTGTGTGTTTGTTCGTCTCACAGGGAGCGTGGCCGCCCGGCACCGAGTGTGTGGCTAAGTATAACTTCCAGGGCAGCACCGACCAGGACCTTCCCTTCAGCAAAGGAGACCTGCTGACCATCATCAGCGTAACCAAGGTAACGGCAATCAGGCGTAACCAAGGTAACGGCAATCAGGCGTAACCAAGGTACCGGCAATCAGGCGTAACCAAGGTAACGGCAATCAGGCGTAACCAAGGTACCGGCAATCAGGCGTAACCAAGGTACCGGCAATCAGGCGTAACCAAGGTAACGGCAATCAGGCGTGACCAAGGTAACGGCAATCAGGCGTGACCAAGGTAACGGCAATCAGGCACAACCAAGGTAACGGCAATCAGGCGTAACCAAGGTAATGGGAATCAGGCGTAACGAAGCAATCAGGCGTAACCAAGGTACCGGCAATCAGGCGTAACCAAGGTAATGGCAATCAGGTGTAACCAAGGTAACGGCAATCAGGCGTAACCAAGGTACCAGGCAATCAGGCGTAACCAAGGTAACGGCAATCAGGTGTAACCAAGGTAACGGAAATCAGGCATAATCAAGGTAACGGCAATCAGGCGTAACCAAGGTAACAGCAATCAGGCGTAACCAAGGTAACGGCAATCAGGCGTAACCAAGGTAACGGCAATCAGGTGTAACCAAGGTAACGGAAATCAGGCATAATCAAGGTAACGGCAATCAGGCGTAACCAAGATAACAGCAATCAGGCGTAACCAAGGTAACGGCAATCAGGCGTAACCAAGGTACCAGGCAATCAGGCGTAATCAAGGTAATGGCAATCAGGCGTAACCAAGGTACCAGGCAATCAGGCGTAACCAAGGTAATGGCAATCAGGCGTAACCAAGTAACGGCCAATCAGGCATAACCAAGGTAATGGCAATCAGGCGTAACCAAGTAACGGCCAATCAGGCGTAACCAAGGTAATGGCAATCAGGCGTAACCAAGTAATGGCCAATCAGGCGTAACCAAGGTAATGGCAATCAGGCGTAACCAAGTAACGGCCAATCAGGCGTAACCAAGGTAATGGCAATCAGGCGTAACCAAGTAATGGCCAATCAGGCGTAAGCAAGGTAACGGCAATCAGGCGTAACCAAGTAACGGCCAATCAGGCGTAACCAAGTAACAGTGGATTCGAACCCGGTTCTCTCACACCAAAGGCATGTGTCTTATCCACTGCACCACCACCCCATTAATATAAATATATATGTACTGTAAATACATGCAAAACTATTTTACATATATACATGCATGTGTGTGTGTTTATATATACAAAATAATTATACACAGTACACACACACATATATTATGTAAACACAGACTTCTATTTTGGATGTGATTAATCGTTGCTCAGCACGGTTGGAAATGAACTTTGTCACTCACAGGATAATTTAGCTTCTCCATGAAGTTACCGGCGGCCATTCAGAGCTTCGACTAGCCAAAGAGAAGAACGAAAGAACGAAAAAAAGAAATAAAGCGGAATATGAGGACGGATCAACAGTTCAAAGAACATCACGTTCACAAATCTTTAGGATGTTGGAAAAACAATAACGTGTTTCTGTTCACCGAATGCTTTTAATCTCCGCTATCGCTTCAGCGCTGTCATCTGTCGTGTAGTGTGTGTGTGTGTGTGTGTGTGTGTGTTCAGGTCAGCAGATATGAGCAGATTGTGTGCAATACTCTATTTAATATATCATGACTCTCGAGGATTTGCGCTGAATCTGAGTAAACATCAGTGACTCCAACCCGGCTCGTGATTGGACAGCGTTTCCCGCCACTGCTGATTTATACACACATTTGACCGGTGTTCATTTCAATATATATATAATGTATATATACATCAAAACAACAAATCTTCAGTTGTAATTTGCTGTCATGCTCGTGATCTTCATTGATTGATTGTTTTAATGAATTGCTTTATTGACGAAGGACCCGAACTGGTATCGAGCGAGGAGCAGTGTGGGGCGAGAGGGAACGATTCCTGCCAACTACGTCCAGCGGAGAGAAGGCCTGAAGTCTGGAGGAAAGCTCAGCCTGATGCCGTGAGTACATGTTTAATAGTTCAGATGTTCATATGATGAAACTTCAGTAAAATAGGCTCATAATATCGTAGTATTATATCGCATGGTTGAGACGGATCACATCATGACACACACATTATGTATCGTGTGTGTGTGTGTGTGTGTGTTTCACACAGACTCGTGACCCAGAGTCCACGCCAACACAGCGTTGTTCTGTTATAACTGGACTTGATTTGAGCTGTGAGCCCCAACTAATTCACAAGATTCACATTATTGTAATCTCTGACATCACTGTCTCCATGTGACACCGCAGCCTCCAATCAGTGACCTCTGACACGACCTTTCATTAAAGTTCTAGTTCACTTCAGAATGTAAATGTTCTTTTCCACTGAAGAAAGAAACGCATCTTGGATGACGAGGAGGGAGTTTTGAGTGTGACGTGACCTTTGACCTCGCTGACTCTGGTTTCCCCGAAGCGTCACCGTTGTGATTGACAGTTCCCTTTTCTTCATGTGAGTTAGTAAAATCGGACGTTCTGCTGACTGTCTCTCGCCCAGTTTCTCAGCAGAAGTGAAACACAGAGCTGTGATGTCATCCGATGAACTCACACCGACACACACATTAGTTACATGTTTGGTCATTGGCTCGTGACGGACCAGATACGGTCGATGACACGCATATGAAGCATTCCCGAGGAACAGTCAAAGCGAACGTTACTCAGACACCAGATTCACTAGTGTGTGCAGCTGAATCTCCCATTTATAAACATTTGGGAGCAAATATGATTCGTCCACTTTGAGCTGAAGTGTGTTTTCTGCTCTTTTTACACACACACACACACACACACACACACTGAACAACATGAAGCATTGCTTGGTCACTGGTTGAGCTAAACTGGTATTATCTAATTGTGTAGATATTCAACATAACTCATGTGTGAGAGTCCAACAGAAGGACGGACAAAACCAGTCCGATATCCACTGATCCGAGAACTGCTCTTATCTCTCACTATAGTGAATAAACTGATAATATGGGAAATGTTGAAGGAGTCTGAGTAATGTTGGTTTGACTGTAAATAACCTTTCCAATATCCAGTGATGATGTAATGGATACTAGTTCATGTCAGAGCCGAGGACTGATCTCAGATGTGACCCTTTAAAGGAAATGTATTGACAACTCTTTCTGGATCCAGGAATGAGAAAAGTGTGTCTGATCTCTGATCCGGTGTGTGTGTGTGTGTGTGTCAGGTGGTTTCACGGGAAGATCCCGCGGGAGACGGCGGAGCGGCTGCTGTATCCGCCCGAGACGGGCTTGTTCCTGGTGCGCGAGAGCACAAACTACCCCGGCGACTACACACTGTGTGTGAGCTGCGACGCGAAGGTGGAGCATTACCGCATCATCTACCACAGCGGCAGGCTGAGCATCGACGAGGAGGAGTACTTCGACAACCTCATGCAGCTGGTGGAGGTGTGTGTGTGTGAGTGTGTGTGTGTGTGAGTGTGTGTGTGTGTGTGTGAGTGAGTGTGTGTGGAATTCCTCACATTCTCTTTTTTCTCATTCTTGTCATTCTTTTGTCCTTTTCTCTTGACGACGTGTCATTACAAGCGGCTCATCAAGGTCTTGTGAACCTGCTGTAAACGACAGTGAGTGTGTGTGTGTGTGTGTGTGTGTGTGTGTGTGTGATTACTCTGCCGTCTAGTGTTTTTCAGTGAAACTCAAGCGATGTTCATCTAAACAAGAGTTTGATTCTGTTGTTCAGGATGTTCAGATGAATCTCTTAATAGATGAAGTCAATAAAATAAAACACAAATAAAAAATTAAGAAAAAATAAATAAAATATATTTTAATCATAAACAAAAGTGAGGAAATTTTGCTATTCAATAAATAACAAAGGAGCAAGTTATAAACAAAATTGTGTGTGTGTGTATATATATATATATATATATATATATATATATAAATATATAAAATATATAATAAAGGTGAAAGATAAAACAAAAAGTAAAAACTATAATTAAAAGAAAATAATGATATATAAATTAAAATGTGTGTGTGTATATATATATATATATATATATATATATATATATAAATATATATAAATCCTAAAACCAAGATTCAAAAGTGCAAATTAGTCGGTGAAGACTGGAGGTCATGTGACCCGTTTGAGAATCGTAACCAATGGGAGCGAGGACTGGAGGTCATATGACCTGTGTGAGAGTTGTAACCAATGGGAGTAAAGACTGGAGGTCATGTGACCTGTGTGAGAGTTGTAACCAATGAGAGTGAAGACTGGAGGTCATGTGACCCGTGTGAGAGTTGTAACCAATGGGAGTAAAGACTGGAGGTCATGTGACCTGTGTGAGAGTTGTAACCAATGAGAGTGAAGACTGGAGGTCATGTGACCCATGTGAGAGTTGTAACCAATGGGAGTAAAGACTGGAGGTCATGTGACCCATGTGAGAGTTGTAACCAATGAGAGTGAAGACTGGAGGTCATGTGACCCGTGTGAGAGTTGTAACCAATGGGAGTAAAGACTGGAGGTCATGTGACCCGTGTGAGAGTTGTAACCAATGGGAGTAAAGACTGGAGGTCATGTGACCTGTGTGAGAGTTGTAACCAATGAGAGTGAAGACTGGAGGTCATGTGACCCATGTGAGAGTTGTAACCAATGGGAGTAAAGACTGGAGGTCATGTGACCCATGTGAGAGTTGTAACCAATGAGAGTGAAGACTGGAGGTCATGTGACCCGTGTGAGAGTTGTAACCAATGGGAGTAAAGACTGGAGGTCATGTGACCCGTGTGAGAGTTGTAACCAATGAGAGTAAAGACTGGAGGTCATGTGACCCGTGTGAGAGTTGTAACCAATGGGAGTAAAGACTGGAGGTCATGTGACCCGTGTGAGAGTTGTAACCAATGGGAGTAAAGACTGGAGGTCATGTGACCTGTGTGAGAGTTGTAACCAATGAGAGTGAAGACTGGAGGTCATGTGACCCGTGTGAGAGTTGTAACCAATGGGAGTAAAGACTGGAGGTCATGTGACCTGTGTGAGAGTTGTAACCAATGAGAGTGAAGACTGGAGGTCATGTGACCCATGTGAGAGTTGTAACCAATGGGAGTAAAGACTGGAGGTCATGTGACCCATGTGAGAGTTGTAACCAATGAGAGTGAAGACTGGAGGTCATGTGACCCGTGTGAGAGTTGTAACCAATGGGAGTAAAGACTGGAGGTCATGTGACCCGTGTGAGAGTTGTAACCAATGGGAGTAAAGACTGGAGGTCATGTGACCTGTGTGAGAGTTGTAACCAATGAGAGTGAAGACTGGAGGTCATGTGACCCATGTGAGAGTTGTAACCAATGGGAGTAAAGACTGGAGGTCATGTGACCCATGTGAGAGTTGTAACCAATGAGAGTGAAGACTGGAGGTCATGTGACCCGTGTGAGAGTTGTAACCAATGGGAGTAAAGACTGGAGGTCATGTGACCCGTGTGAGAGTTGTAACCAATGAGAGTAAAGACTGGAGGTCATGTGACCCGTGTGAGAGTTGTAACCAATGGGAGTAAAGACTGGAGGTCATGTGACCCGTGTGAGAGTTGTAACCAATGGGAGTAAAGACTGGAGGTCATGTGACCTGTGTGAGAGTCGTAACCAATGGGAGTAAAGACTGGAGGTCATGTGACCTGTGTGAGAGTTGTAACCAATGAGAGTGAAGACTGGAGGTCATGTGACCCATGTGAGAGTTGTAACCAATGGGAGTAAAGACTGGAGGTCATGTGACCCGTGTGAGAGTCGTAACCAATGGGAGCGAGGACTGGAGGTCATGTGACCCGTGTGAGAGTCATAACCAATGGGAGCGAGGACTGAAGGTCATGTGACCCGTGTGAGAGAGGACATCGGATACGATGATGTTCAGAACAGTTGTGTTGAGCTTCAGGAGTGTGTGACCTCTATCCCAGCATGCATGTGTCCATCACTCTCATGTTCACAGGAAGTGTGTGTGTGTGTGTGTGTGTGTTTCAGCACTACAGCAAAGACGCGGACGGCCTCTGCACGCGCCTCATCAAGCCGAAGCTGGTGGAGGGGACGGTGGCGGCGCAGGACGAGTTCTCCAGGAGTGAGTCTCGTTTACTCCTAATCAAACCTTAAAATACACTCAAAATCACCAGATTATTATTACAAGGTAAATATGTCAATATGTAGTAAATCACTCTAATATGATCATCTGACTCTCGAGATTATGATTATTATCAGTGTTGAAGGATGTTTCATATTTCTGTGGAAACTGATGGATTTCAGGAGTCTTTGGTGAATAGAAAGATCAAAAGAACAGCTTTTAATTAAAACTAATCTTCTGTGACTTCATAAATGAATTAAACTAATTTAATGCGTCCTTGATCAATAAAGGGTCATTCCTTTAATCTCGAGCGCTTGTTCTCCTCAGGCGGATGGGCCCTGACCCGCAGAGACCTCAAGCTCATCCAGCCCATCGGGAAAGGAGAGTTCGGAGGTGTGTGTGTGTGTGTGTGTGATGATACAAGTGTGTGATGCGAGCTGGTTGTGTGTGTGTGTGTGATGATGATACATGTGTGTGATGCCAACTGGTTGTGTGTATTCAGATGTGATGCTGGGAGATTACAGAGGGTCGAAGGTCGCGGTGAAGTGCATCAAACACGACGCCACAGCGCAGGCGTTCCTCGCCGAAGCCTCCGTGATGACGTGAGCAAACCTGCACTCCACAACATCCCATCATAACCATTAACTCACCACATCTCCTGTATAACCTCTGACACTCTCCGCTGTTCCTCCTGTGAGTTAGATCACACACGTCTGCCATGTTTGTAGTTTTCAACACTTGCTATTCGTGTTTGTAGTTCTAATGGCGCAGTGGGTTGCGGTTCTAACCGGAAATAGTAGACCATGAGTGTGTGTGTGTGTGTGTGAAGTGCTTCTGGAACAAGAATGTGGGCGGGGCTTGTGGGGAACTGATTGGCTGATTGTGGTTTGCTATTGGCTGATCTCATGTGAGTGACAGGTTATAGCCCCGCCCTCGCCATCAGAGAAGAGATGCTGCGAGAGGAACTGATTCGACATTATTAACACAATGATGATGATGATGCGCACCCATAAATCATTATAAACCATACATTTTGATTTCATGGTGACTTTAAATCTGTGTGTGTGTGTGTGTGTGTGTGTGTGTGTGTGTGTTGCAGTCGGCTGAGACACACTAACCTGGTGCAGTTATTGGGTGTGATCGTGGAGGAGAGAGGCAGTTTGTTCATCGTGACTGAATACATGGCGAAGGTCAGTGATGTCATGATGCACGATACAAACAAAAACACTCGTATTTTGTGTTGGAGAATCTGAATTTAATTGAACCTAATAATCAGAAAAAGCTTCTCTACATTTTTTTAACGTTTTATTGAACATTTAGACGAAATCTGAATTAAATAAGTTTGTTGAGTATCATATTTGATGCATCAGGCTTTTAATCCTCATATAGTGAGAATATGAAGGAAAAATCATCTCAAACTGAGCAAAAATATGCAATTAGCTGATATTTATATGAAATTATGATGCTTTTAATGTAAAAACAGCAGACACTTGCATATAAATATCAATATCTGCCAATAATGTCTCATATTTAAATGCTTTAGTTGTGTGTGTGTGTGTGACAGGGCAGTCTGGTGGATTACCTGCGCTCGCGGGGTCGAACGGTCCTGGGCGGCGAGTGTTTGCTCCAGTTCTCGCTGTGAGTAATCCTCTGTATTAAACATCATGTTTGTCGTCCGGTGTGTGTAACGTAAAGACGAGCTCCATTTGCACGACTTTGACTCACCAATCGTTCATCGGTGTAGACGTGAATATAGTAGGGCTGTGCAAAAATTAATAGCGATTAATCGCATCCAAAATAAAAGTCTGTGTTTACATAATATATTTGTATGTGCTGTATATAATTATTTTGTATATATAAATACCTATGCATGCATGTATATATTTAAGAATTATTTGCGCTTAAATTCTCTATATATATATATATAATCTATATTATATAAATATAAATATTTTATATATGAATAACACATTTTTCTTAAATATATACATGCATGTGTGTGTATTTATATATACAAAATAATTATATACAGCACACACAAATATATTATGTAAACACAGACATTTATTTTGGATACGATTAATCGCGATTCATTTTTGCACAGCCCTACTATATAGCTATCGTTATAGTTATCTTTATTGGCTCTGTGGAATGCTTGATTCTGATTGGTCAATCACACATCCAGCGGTTTATTATTCCCCAGTAACACCAGAACACAGAAACACACTGATGACATCAGCGCTACACACTCGCGAGGAACGGGTTTAGCTTTTGTGAGCTGATAAAATATTAAAACTAGTCAAATCAATATTTTGTGTAGTTTTTTAATTAAGCCCTCCAGTATCGTGGACTCTCTCGTTTCACACGAACGCAGCGGCGGCCATTTTGTGTCTGTTGTTCTGTTCTCTGTCGGATGCTGATCACCCTGACGCGTTTATGCTGATATAACAACCGTCTTACTTAAAGACACACACACAACATGTCTGTCTGTCCACTGGGATCTTCAGGAGTGTGTGTGTGTGTGTGTGTGTTTCAGTAACGTGTGTGAAGCCATGGAGTATCTGGAGGCCAATAACTTTGTGCACCGAGATCTGGCGGCTCGTAACGTCCTGGTGTCCGACGACAACATCGCTAAAGTCAGCGACTTCGGTCTGACCAAAGAGGCCTCGTCCACTCAGGACACGGCAAAACTCCCCGTCAAGTGGACCTCGCCCGAGGCCCTGCGCGAGAAGGTGAGTGAGAGTGTGTGTGTTTGAGTGTGTGTGTTTGTGAGAGAGTGTGTTTGAGTGTGTGTGACAGACTGAATTTCTTTTCACCCCACAGTGAAGAGCGAATAAGAGTGTATGATCAGCCGTAAGAGCTTTGGGTGTGTGTAACGACAGAGTTTTCTCTTTTCTCCGCAGAGGTTTTCCACCAAGTCTGACGTGTGGAGTTTCGGCGTGCTCCTGTGGGAGATTTACTCGTTCGGCCGCGTGCCGTACCCCAGAATCGTAAGAGTTTCACGTGTTTCTCTGCCAGTATAACTGAAGCACAAAACTGCAATATCACATGAAACGCGTGTGAATAAAGCAGCGTTTGTGTTCGAGAGAACAAATGAAGAGTTCAGATGCAAAAGCCTCTAAATGCCATTTGAAATTTTCTTCTTTAATGATCATTTTTATCAAACTTGTATATTTAAGTTCAGTGATTTCACTTAAATGGCAATGATAATTACCTATTAATTGTTATTTAAGTGAAATCACTGAACTTAAATATACAAGTTTGATAAAAATAATCATTCTAGAAGAAAATTTCAAATGGCATTTAGAGGCTTTTGCATCTGAACTCTTCAAATCATCTCTCCCTGGGCTAAAACATCCGCTATAAACATCCGCTTTAATGCTGTTTCCCGTACATCATAAACGGGTGTGTGTCGGACGCTATCATAAACGAGTGTGTGTTGAGCGTCAAACGAGTGTTTGTGTGTCTCTCTGTCGTGTGGTTCAGTGTGTGTCCAGCAGATGGCGGTGTGTGTGTGTCTGTTGTGCGGTTCAGTGTGTGTCCAGCAGATGGCGGTGTGTGTGTGTGTGTCTGTCATGCCGTTCAGTGTGTGTCCAGCAGATGGCGGTGTGTGTGTGTGTGTGTCTGTCGTGTGGTTCAGTGTGTGTCCAGCAGATGGCGGTGTGTGTGTGTGTGTGTCTGTCGTGTGGTTCAGTGTGTGTCCAGCAGATGGCGGTGTGTGTGTGTGTGTGTGTGTCTGTCGTGCCGTTCAGTGTGTGTCCAGCAGATGGCGTGTGTGTGTGTGTGTGTGTGTGTGTGTGTGTGTGTGTGTGTGTGTCTCTGTCGTGCGGTTCAGTGTGTGTCCAGCAGATGGCGGTGTGTGTGTGTCTGTCGTGCGGTTCAGTGTGTGTTTCCGTGACTCGTGGCGTTCCCCAGGGCTCTATTCTGGGTCCAGCTTTAGTTCCTCTATATTCACTCGCTCTGCGTCTTATTCTTGAGTCCCTTAAAGTTTCACATCACATTTATGCCGATGATCCTCAGCTTTATTTCTACTAAGATCATATCCTGGTTCAGTGTGGTCTTCGCTAGCGTGTTTAGATTACCCTGGGCCTCCTTCAGGATCACATGCGTGAGAACGTGACCAATCTGGGAGTTACTCTTGATCCAGAGTTCAAATCATTCATTCGTCTCATCCGGGCTGGGGAAATGACCTGCGTTACAACATTACACACATACAGGTGACACTCGAAGAAGTAGTTCAGTCATTTAAAAGGTGAAGCTAATATATTTAGCATATTATACACACGCATGATTATACTTCTCAGAGGGCCGACATTTCTGCATTTAAAATCCTTTTTTTATTGGTTTCGTGTAATATTCAAATTTTCTGGAATTTGGGATTTTCATAAGCTGTAAAACAATAAAAACTTTTCCACGATATTCACATGTTTCAAGTTTCACCTGCATATGCAAATGAACCTGTATATCCGATGAGCCCTCTCGGGTGCTATATAAATGAGCTGTTGACCTCTTGACCCCTGCAGCCGCTGAGGGAGGTGGTGCCGCGGGTGGAGAAGGGCTATAAGATGGAGGCTCCGGACGGCTGTCCTGCCGCGGTGTACGAGCTGATGAAGCAGAGCTGGAGTCTGGATCCCGCCAAGCGGCCCTCGTTCCTCATGATGAGGGAGAAGCTCCAGCGCATCCGAGCCGAGGAGCTGCACCTGTGACACACACACACACACACACACACCTGCTGCTGAGGACTGAGACTGTTGAGCTGACACACTCTCCTGATCCGTGACGTGACCGGAGGAACACACGGGGGAGTGAGTGTGTGTGACCTGCAAATGTCATGCGTGTGTGTGATGTGTGCTGGTGTCATGCGTGTGTAGTACATGTGTGTGTCAGGTGTGTGCAAGTGTGTCATGCGCAAGTTTGTCGTGTGTGTGTGAATTTTGCAAGTGTGTCATGCGTGTTGAGGCCAATTCACACCGCACACACACCAACAAACATTGGATTTAGAATTGCATGATAAATCATGTTGTGATCAGTCATGTTCACACACACACACACACACACACACACTGAGTAAATGTGTTCTGTCGGGTGAAAACACACTGACCAACTGTGTAACACTGATCCAACAAAACACAAACAACACGTTCCTGGCATTTTCTGTGCGACTGAATTGGCCTAATGTGTGTCGAGTGTGTGTGTGTGTGTGTGTGTGCTGGAGTCGACAGTGCCTGTGTTCCTCTGACGTCACTCTTTCACAGACTCAACGTGTGTCTTTTTTATTCTTTTCTTTTTTTAACTCTGCCTTTTTAATGATTGTATTGTTGATTTGTTCTTCTGCATCGAGATGTGTGTGTGTGAACATGACTGAACTGAGGCAATGAGCTGCCAACACTCACTCTCTCACACACACACACACACACACACACACACACACACACACTCCCTCTAGCGGACTCTAGAGGCTCGTCTAACTCTCGGTGCGTCGGCCTGTTTTATATTAAAATATATTTAAAGAACTGGATCAAAGATGACGAGGTGTGTGTGTGTGTGTGTGTGCATGCTCAGAGGCCTTGAGTAACGTTTCAGTGTTCATTGTTTTATATATTCTGCCATGATTATGAATAAATCATTCCATCTGTGTGACAGTGTCATCGCTGGGGGCGGAGCTGCTGACAGGAAGTGACCTCGTCACTATCGATGAACGTTGCATCTTTTAAACTCGTGTACTTGATGCTGACCTTGTGTGTATGTTTGTGCTCATTAGATGAACTCACACAGACACGGACACACATACACTCTCACATACACACTCTCTCACACAAACACACTCTCACATACACACTCTCTCACACAAACACACACTGTCTCACATACACACATACTCTCTCTCTCACACTCACTCACTCACTCTTTCTCTTTCACACACATACACTCTTTCTCATACACAGACACACACACTCTCTCTCTCACACAGACACTCTCACACACACACACACTGTCTCACACATACTCTCTTTAACACACAGACACACTCTCTTGCACACTCATACACACACTCTCTCACACACACACATACACACACTCACTCTCCCACAGACAGTAAAGGCTCCTCCCACAGTCAGTAAAGGCTCCTCCCACAGTCAGTTTTGTAGTTTTATTACTTTCATGATTTTATGCATGAAATTTTGAACTTAAGTTGAGGAAGTAAGAAATATACTTAAATTTGTCTTTATTGATAAAATCTAGTAATTTAAAGGTAAAAACAGCTGAACAGAATGTATCAAAATGAAGTAAAAAAAGGTTTCAGGGAAGAAAGTGGCTTCGGGTCGTGTTGAGCGGCGAGGGAGAGGAGGATGATGAAGGGTGAGTAGATCACGTTTGTCTCCTGTGCTTTTCTCCGCCGGCGCCGGTTCTGTTGATTCTGGACCCTGATGATCATGTGACTGAGTCTCTTATGTAAGTTTGACCTCCAGCGACTCCGGTGAGACGGAGCATGTGATCGGACACACACACACACACCCTCGTGTTTCACAGTCATTAACATTTAAATTAACACCCATAGTAATTGACTGCCGACAGCTTCGCATGTGAGACGTCCACACAAACACTGACCCGATGCGCTCGCCCTTGACCTTTGCCCTTGACCTTTGACCTCGCCCTCGAGTCGATGCAACACTTCATCTGGACGTCACGCTCGTAAACTCAAACACACTGGGATTAAGGGTCTGACTCAATCTCAAACTTCTTCCAGCCTGAGCAAACCCGTCAAACGCACTATATTAATCATCGCTTCATTATTGACCGCGTTCAGGAACATGAACTGCTCAAAACAGGCTTTATGTTCACAGTTTTAGATAAAACATAAATAGTAAATTCAACACTTGAGCTTAAGTATTTATACTTTAATAAACCATCAACAGAAAATAGAATTAGATTATTATTTGAACTGAAACTAAAGTCATAATGTTTTAACCAATATTTTTTAAATAATACACTTATTTTACTTCCGATACTTGTCAAGGTAACATTTCACATTTACATTTCGTTTAATTTACTTTAAATACTGAAATAAAATAGACCTTTTTTTAAATACGTTAAACTTGTATAAATGTAAAAAACACGACTTTAACAGAAAACAAAATGTAAACAAAATCAAAAGACTAACAGTATCTTGATGCTAAAACAACTAAAAAATAAATGTTTTAATTAAAGAATGACATGCTAATAAAAGCGTTAGATGTCAGTAATAGTGCTGGTTTAGTTTTAAAAAGTCTCTCGCTGAAGATGTCCTTGTTAACGAGACGCTTTCGTTCCTCCTACATCTTCATTAACTTCAGCTTGTTAATCAGCTTTCACAAACACACACATCTGAGCTCAAACTCAGTCTGCGTCGCTGTTTACACACTACAGTTTCGGTCTCGTGATCCGGCAGATTTAGAGTCGGCGTTTGCCGGAAGCTAAACTTCTCCACACAGAAATTAATGTTAACGATAACTTAAAAAAATGCAAACCTACTGTGCGCTGCGAGGCTGTTCATCGATCCGTCAGTGCATTATTTCAGCTTATTTTTAAATAATCACGTTTAACAGTGAAACTACATTACTCCCATGATGCTGTGCAGACAATCGCACCAATCAGAAAGTCATTACAAGCAAAGCTCCACCCTCTCTTAAGCTCCGCCCACTCTAACGAATTACGTAATTGAGTCGCGCTCTCAAAATACTCCGATATTTGTGTATATAAATGCTGTTTGCAATGCTTCATGGGATTGTAGTTCTTTTTAGCTTAATTTTTCAGTTTGTGATGTTATGATTCACATCTGGTTGGCTTAAAACACTTGTGCTGTGGTCAATAATTACATCTCTTAAAACTCATCTTAATCACCAAAATTACATATTAAACGTTTTGTCATTCATGCCTTAAAATATCTTGAATGTAACCCGACACCCTCATTTAGTATGCGCAATTCTATTAATATGCCCCGCCTCCACTCACTCACTCACTGGTTGACGATCACACGTTGATCTGATTGGTTACAAGGTGGTTTGTGACGTCAGAAACACCAGCGATTTCAAAGCGTGTTTTTAAGACTGTGTTAAAGCGCATTAAACACACCACATACACACATAAACAACATTAAACGCTGGATTTACACCACAGGGCGACTTTAATAGGCGTGCAATCTATAGTAATTATAACACATCCATATGCCACTGCTGGTCTAGAATATATTATTGTGGAATTGTCACTCATTAAGCTTCGGTTGTAGAACACGCTAATTAACGAGGATCTGAACTGTAATTAGCAGTGAAGTGTAATGAAGGAGTAACCGTACCTGACTGATGCTCGAGTGATCCGGAGAGTGTTGATCATGACGAGTGTTTTTCCTCTTAATATTCGCCAGCACACACACACACGCTAAGAGAGCGAACGCTTCTGCTAGCGGCCTAAAAATACGTACGTCTCCATCTCAGCTGATCTTCCACCACAATTAGCGTCTATTCAGGACAGACAAATTAGCATTTCCGTCACGCGCGTCTGACGAAGCCTTGCTTCTGAACACAGTTTCCTCTCGGGCTGATTCGGGATCTGACCTTTGACCTCCGCCAGTGTGTCGGGCGCGTCTGACGGATGTTAATGCTAGCTTAGCTTCCCTCAGCTGTGTGTCAGTGGCTTATGTAACGCGCCTGTTTCCGCTAATTGCCCGTTAGGATCTGCGGGAATGGGAATCTCCTGCATTACTGGCCTTATGAAATCAGTTTGAGTTTTAATATCTACTTACTTTAGGTGTCAAAAAGCATGTCTAATTAAGTGAAATCGTAAAACTTTTACAATTCAACAATTATTTATTAGAAGGTTATGAAAAATTAACATTTTAGGGCCCTATTAATAGTATTCGATTAACAATTAACAATTATTATTTATAAAATTAGTTTTGTTTTTTGAACATGTTATCCATTTAATTTTTTCTGGATTCCATTTTAATGGTTTAATTAACTTTTAAACATCAAAAAGAATAATTAAATCCTTAATATTTTATTATAGTTTTTCAAACGTTAAAGTCCTGTGTTTAAATCCATTGTTTAATGTTGTTTATTGTTCCTATGTGGTGTTTTTAATTTGAGTGTGAGTGAGTGGAGGCGGGGCTCATTCGCATATTCATAGAACCGTGCATACTAAATGAGGCAAGGGTGTCGAATTACATTCAAGATATTTCTTCAAGTTAAACCAAACTTTCATTCTGGCATATTACTGTGATAGTGTGTGTGAGAGAGAGAGAGAGAGAGAGAGAGAGAGAGAGAGTGTGTGTGTGTGATTGAGTGAGTGAAAGAAAGAGAGTGTGTGTGTATGAGTGAGTGAGAGAGTGAGTCAGTGAGTGAGTGTGTGCACACTTGTGTGTGTGTGGTGTTCATCGCTCATATTAGCTGTAGTCGTGTCTCTAGGGTTCCAGCGTTGAGTTTAGCAGGCGCTCGACCTTGGAGACAAAAACTCTGAGCAGCTCACACACACACACACACACACACACAGCTTTCAGCCGTGCCGTGCGGTATCACACCACTGACGTCAGTGTTTGCGTGTGTGTTATTAGCTCCATCCCCTCGTGTCATGACATGAGAAATACACCACGCAAACTTCAATCTCACACACACTCCAGGCGGCGGATTTACAGCAAATCCTCTCGGGCCGAGCCGAAGCGGGATCTGCAGGCATGAGAAGAACGAACACACACTTCTCCAGCCTGACCTTCACTGGTGCCCGCCTCTGACCTCTGACCCCACTCAGTCCTATTGGCTGACTCATGAATTCATAGAGTGATTTCTGAAGGGTCATGTAATAAA